GCATGCAGCGATTGTAAAGTTCGACAATGAGTTGAGAAAGTGAGTAGACTCTAAGCTTCTGGACCATGGCCTCTAAGCTGTTCGGTCCTGTGGTCATGGAAGCTTTGATTTTCTTGATCTGTTGACGTACTCTATCAGATGAAATGGTTTATCACTACATGCTGATTTCAGGATTCACAAGGATTGGATTGCTTCAGACAAGTTGCTAAGCGGATCTTTGACTGTTTCTTCATCTTTGAATCGCAGAAAATAGTCATTCACAACCTCGGGATCTTCATCCACAGCTCTTTGTCTCTGCTCCCAATTGCACAGTCGGCAAATCGAGGCTCATTTTTCCTTCACATTTGCAAAGGCCGAGGCGACAGTGGAGTGCTCGTGGTTGAGTCTAGCAATCTTAGATATCAGATGCTTTCACATGCATTCAAATCTGCCTTGTTTACAGCCCTGTTCTTTTTGTTCTTTCACCCAATGAACCGCTTAACACCGTCCGATCACTAGCTTACTTTAATGGTGAGGATCTTTAGCCGAGGCAACAGGAATCAAAGGCAGAGTCGATGTACGCCGGTGTTACGGTTTCACCACGTCTGCTGACGCCGTCGTCGTGGAGAACGTCATGATCCGTTGCGTCCATCATACGGTAGAACCGGCTGACCCTCTCAGCATCTCAGCAATGGCTTGTGAATAGCAGCACGCTGACGACGCCTAGTGAGATTGAAGGTTCGTTGCTTTTGGCATTTACGCGGTATGAGACGGAAGATACCGTGTTCGGAAGTACGCAGAGGCGCAGAACCATTAATGCGGAAACGATCACCATTGTTTGCCACTGCACAGTTCAGTCGGAGTCGAGACTTGTTAAAAACGAAACGAGGTCTGCGAGGCCAACTACCTCAACGATGCTGGCTCGTGTAGGCGAGCGTAAGCATCGGCCATGAGCACGTGCAGGTGGTTGATCGAACCGGGGTGAACGCTGCCACCAAACCTCTCCATAAAAGAATCAACACCAGCGTTTGCAGTCAAACGTCAAATACAGATAATCAACGAAAATGCTGCAATGCAGGAACAAGGTACCTTGGCTGGCATTCACCCCTCATCTGACGAGACATGGTGGATTGACTTCGCAAGGTATGAAATTCTCTGAACAGCTTGCACCCTTCGTCAAGCTGATCCACGTTACTGTACCACTACCGGCACAAACACAAGGCTTAACTTTCCTGGAAAGATCAGGCCGGCGGTACCATACGAAGAATGCTGAAATGTAGCCAGGATTCTTGTTAGAGAATGGCACAAATGCTGTCTAATAGCAGCATAGGGAGATCAGTCTTGTGCCCATCAGCATGGCGCCTCCATCGTTGGAAATTACTGCTGATAGACGGTTGTTTTTGAGAGGTGTTTTTTGTCTTTGCAGCAGTTTGCCATCTGCTACCTGTGGTCTTCCGAAGTTTGCTACAAACGGAGTCAAAAACCGGGAAACAATAAATCCGTCTATTTCCACGTGCTACAATTGACTGCTGATATTCGCGAGAACGGCTGAACACCCAGAATTCGGGTGCGATGTTTCATTCAATTCATTCATCATTCAATTGCCGCCAAGCGAATGACAGGTGCTTTTCAACCTCGATTACTGAGGTTCAGGGACATGTTGAAACTAACATATCTCCTACCTCCATCCAAACTCAATCCAAATGCATGAGCCATACTGTTTTTTTGTCATGAAGATCACTGCGACCTTATAGCGTTGAACTGCCAACTTTAGGATCCAAAAGGTCCAGTGCAAGTTTCGCTTAAGACAAAGCATTTCTGATCAGATTATTGACGGATCGTAGGAGCTCGCTCATCCGATTTACACGTGTTTTGTAAACCTCGAGAAAGCTCA